GATGGCATTCAAAATACAGGTGGAATTGGCTTTAGATCAGAAGAAAGACTGCTCCGCTATTTCATCAGCCAGACAGAATGGTGAAAATTCATGTCGGTAGGCAGAATTTGAAGACATTTCATTATGATGCTTCTATTTTTTCTGCAGTATATGTTGGGCATTCCACTAGGAGCTTTAAAACAATCATTTAATATTCACAACCATTCTATGATGTTGGAATTATGATTCTCTCTTTACATTTAAATGAAGCTTATGTTAGAAACTTACCTGAAGTTTTGACTTAAAAAATGATAGAACCAGTATTTGAATCTAAAGATCGTTTACAGAGTGGACTCGAAGAATATGTGTGTATAAACAAGGGACATTTTAAAAAACTTAACAAGACTTTGTAATTATTCATGAGAAATGAAGTCACGAATCATAAGACACCAAGTTTTCATGTTTTAATTTCTGGAAGAATTATTGTGTCACAGAGACAGGTATGTTAGAAGACTTTGAATTTGTATCAGGTTGAACCTAAATTGATGCAAAAGTAAAGTATGTAAATGTAAATATTTGGTAAGTATTTGAACATACTGGAGATAATGCTCAGATAATAGGGTACACTGGAAAAAAGATTTGGGAGATTTGGGAATCAAGAGCATAGAAGTGATGACTGAAGCCATTTTAGATGACTAAACCAAAGAAAAGAGGATAGAGACAGGCAGAGTTTAAAAAAAAAAAAGGGCCTTGATAAGAGTCCATAGTTGGAGTGTGATGATGAGGGTAAAAGAAGTAGCAGCTGAGATTAGAGGGCAGCTAAAAGAGGTGGGGGGAGCTCTGGTAGCATAGTGGCTAAGACACTTGACTGCTAACCAGGCGGCTGGCGGTTCAAACCCATCAGCCACTCCTCGGAAGGAAGGTTGGGCAATCCTACTTCCGTAGTGATACTGCCTCGGAAACCCAAGGAGGGGTCGCTATGAGTCGGGTTTGACTTGACGGCACATAACAACAACAACAACAACAAAAGAGGTGGGAGAACGAAAAGAGAGTTGTGTCCAGGAAGTCAGTAATGTAGAGGAATTTTAATGGGGCCAAATATAGAAGAGAGTTGGGAAAAGAGGGTGAGGATAAGATGAGGAAAGACCACTAGATTTGAAGTAAAAATATTTTATTGATAATACTTGATAAAGAATTTAAATATGATGGAGATAGTGGTTGAGTTGAAAAGGTCAGCAAGAAAAGAAATGGAGAAGAATTGGAGGTAGGAGGCTTCTGCTTTTTGTTAGACAAAGTTAGCAGTTGAAGGAAGAAAAGGAATAGGATGAAATTAGAATGGTTAGCACATTTAAATAAAGGATTTCTTCACATTCTGATTTGCTTGTATGAAGCAAGAGGGCAAGGGGACAATAACAGGTAGGGAGAAATTTTTGTTGTTATGAAATAACTTTCCTAGAAAATGATTTATTAGGATTAATGATTACCTGAGTCAAAGTCCTACAATTTTTTCAAATGCAGCACTGTATTTCATTTCATTGAGGCAGGGTGGGGATTTTAAGTAAAATTTATTACTTTAAACTCTCCAGTAGATGGAGCATCTTCATTGCTTTTCCAGGGATTTTTGGAATGGTATAGGTGGTTGTGCTGGTGGTAGAACTCAGGTATATTTTATGAATAATTGGAAGATTCATAGATCTCAATTTAAACTCAAATAAACAGATTTTCTAGTCTCAGTAAGAAGGCTGGCAGTTCAAACCCACCAGCCACTCCTCAGAAGGAAGGTTGGGCAATCTACTTTGTGGTGATACCACCTCAGAAACCCAAGGAGGGGTTGCTATGAGTCCTGTATAGCTCCAAGGCACATAACAACAACAACAACAGTCTCAGTAAGGTGGTGTTTCTAAATTTCTACAAATTTTCATTAGAAAATCTAGTGTTAAGTTGCTGTGGACCAACACTTTTAACCTATCAGATTTTGACAGTTATGGCAATGTATTGCCAGCGAGACTAAATGATAACTTTACTCTTCATATTTATTGTCATGAATTCCTACAAAAAGAGTTGTTAATAAATACATATGAACAAATACGAGAATAAATTTACTGAACTCTTACATTATCAAAACTTACATTAAGCCTGATGGCTCTCTATCATTAATATCAACTAGTGAGCAATATTATAATAAAAGTGTTTATGCATATCTGATCTGAGGTGCTTAAGCAAAAAAATAACTTCAGAAAGTTTCTTTTTTATTAATAGAGTGTGAAACAATTTAAGTTGTGGTTCATTAAGGCAATTATTTAGATCATTTAGGAGTGAAAACATTCTCATCAGAAACATCAATATTTAAGGCAATTTGGGGGATTGGTTTGTTTAAATTATTTTTCTCCACTTTTTATTTTACTTTGGATATGCAGACAAAAATCCAAGAGTATATAAATTATCTAAAGAGAGCGTTTGGGCCAAAAATGTTAATGTGCACTTCATCGAAAACTGAACATATGAGTCAGCGTCACAATGTTTGTTGATCAAAATGTATTTTAATTATTAGGTTTCTTTCTGAAAAATGTTGAAATCAATATTGAATTTTGATTCTTGCTTTCAGATTACTTTTTACTGTCAATGTTAACGTTAATACCAATTTTACTGCTGTTCGCCAAACTATTTTCCAAAGTGTAATGTTATGTTACAACAAGAATGAATAGTCTTTAAAAGAAACAAACAGGAAAAAAAAAAAAAAAAA